AGCCCCGTGGGCATGTGACAGCTCAAATGGCATGTCAAGTATGTGCCTCCAACACAAAGCTCTAAGACCCCAAAACAATTTTGTGACAATGGCAGTTGTCATGAAAATAGTACAGTGTGCACAGAGAATATTTGTTGTTGCTACCAAGATTGTTGCTTTGGGGGGTTGTTTCCATTTTTTAAAGTTGTCAGCCAAGACTTTAGCAGCAGCAAAATCAAGGTTTGGCTAGAGGCCACGTCTGATTCCACATGACCTAAATGGCCAGAGACAGAGTGTTAGCTTCCACAAAGAAAGGAATGTATCATAAAACCAGAAGCAAACATATGAGCAAGTACTCTATGGTCTATTAACTAGGGCACATCCAAAGATTAATCTTAAAGGTTGCATATCCAAGAGTGTGCATAACTAGACATTTGAGTCTTTGTGCATCTCTGCTTACAGCTGTGTCTAGTTACTTCGAATCTGACCAGCATTATAAATGGCTGGGATAAAACATCTCCTGAAGGAAGTAGGTGCTGTGACTCATCAGCCCCTCTGACTCAGCGGATGTATGCTGTCATGAGGTGTTAATACCTAGATCCGTGAACAGACCAAGAGTGGGGCAAAGGGGTTATGAGAAGCTGTGTCAGCAAATAGCCAGAAGCCCCACCAACCATCATTATGACTGTATCCTTTTGTGATACGTAGCATCTATGTCTTTTGTTGCTGTAAGGGCAACTCGCTGGCACAGCTGTGGCCTGATCGTTGTTTCCAAGACTGGTAGCTAGATGATATAATGCAACTGGAACTGATCCCAAGATGGGAGGCTGCCTCTCTCTACCCCGGTTTGACGCGCTCTCAGGGTAGATATACAAGGGCTGGGAGACTGTGCTAGGAATCAGAAAGACAGTGTGGTGCAGGTGCCTATCTTTGTAGGTGGTGGTAGCAGCAGGGGGCTTTCCACTCCACAGCTGTCATTTAGAAGGTGAAGGGGACATATTTATCATGTTAACTAGAATTTCCTTTTTTGTCAGCTGGAACCCTAGGTGTGAGCACTAAGACCCCAGGGAATAGCTGGATTTAGCTATAATTTTCATTTTTGCAGCACCAGCACTAAGAACCCAGGGAATAGTTGGATTTAGCTATAATTTTCATTTTTGTAGCAGCAATGAGAACACAAAGGAAACTTTTATTCAATTGGACACAATCTGGCATCTCAGAAGAAGGTTAGTAAAATACATAAAAATAAATGGTCCATTGTCATGAATTCAAACCACATACAAAGAGCTGGCAGAACAATGCTTTTAAAACCCAGCTGTTCCAAAACAACTTGATATTCTTAAGGCTTATACAGGGTGGGGCAAAAGTAGGTTTACACTTGTTCATATGGAAAATAATATAATAATTTATAAATAATAATACAAGAATAAACTGTGTTTTGTATACTCACAACTGTAAACCCACTTTTGCCTCACCCTGCACAAGGAAGAAATCATCCCTACCTACCCCCAAAACTATTGAAAACAAAATAAAAGTTTTACATAGCATGCAAATGAGAAAGTTTGTACTTTGCTTATAGATACTAATAAACCTGTTTAAACTTTTTATTATTAAAAATATATGTATACATGTATACATATGTATAGATACATATGAAATAATATATAATGTATATATTAAAATTTGCTTTAAAATTGTTAGCAATATTTTTGAATCCTTGTCTGTACCCATTTTCAATTCCCTCCATCTTCCTTCATTAGAACTAGCCCCTATGCCCAATTCTACTTATTTTCTTGCTTTCTCTTAGAGATGATAGATAGATAGATAGATAGGTAGGTAGGTAGGTAGATAGATAGATAGATAGATCTGTTAAAAATCTTTGTATTCAGTTGTGCATGGTTTTGGACCTTGCATAAATGAATCATACTGCATTTCCTGCAACCAGCTTTTTTGCTCAATTTTGTTTGTGAGACTCATTCGTATTGCTAGGGTAGCTGCCATTCATTTTCACTTGTGCTTTCTATTCCATTGACACATAAAAATTTAAGAATTCAGAAGTCAATATTCTGCAGGGAGAACATACAGAAAACTGAACCTGACACTCTGCACATTTCTCACTCAAGGTATTTGCAAATTCTGAAGCTCCAGGATCCCCTTCTTCCATAAATTTTGTGTTTCAGAAGTCAGAAATTGTCTAACCCCTGGCTGGGATGGGGTGGAAGAGTATGGGGAGCCTGACTTGTCTGAGCCAATCATAATGTCTAATTCTCCTGTCCAGGGATTGGTTCATGCACTGACATGTGACTTTATCCTGGTAAAACATGGTGGTGGGGGTTGGGAGAGTCTTTGGTAGATGGAGGGTTAAGAAGAGGTTATTCACCCATAAAAAGTGACACAAGAAAGAGATGAGCTTCTACTGGGTGGTGTTGTATCTCCATATAATACTGGGAAACTGCAGCAGCCATTCTGTAATTAGGAAGCAAGTTAGCACAGGGATAATCAAAAAGAATGAGAATGAGAGGGGAAAACATGGAAATAACCTGAGTTTCAAGCTACTGAATTAGTCAACTTTGAAAACAACCTACCTGAGTAGTCATATTATGAGATCATAACTTTTCTTTATTGTTTAAGCTAGTTGAGTCAAGGGATCATGTCCCTTGCAACTTTGTACATCCCAATGAACAAACCCTTATATACAAAAGATCATAGAAGAGAAAAGGAGAAGCTAGATTGGTAAAACTAAGAAGTCTATGTTCAGGTTGTTTAGCAAGAAAGGGTATGGGAGAAAGGGTCAGGGGTCCAAGCTATACTACTTCGATAACCTTGAGTGAATTCAAACCATTCTGGGTCTCTATTTCATCATCTGTTTAAAAAAAAAAAGAAGTGGGTGGAGACATCCTCTAGTCCATATATGACCCAGTTCCCCAACATGGAACAGTTGAAGACACCACACTGCTTCAAGCAGAGGTCCTTATCCCTGTACTATACTGGAAACACCTAGGAAGGTCTCAAAATGTCCAACACCTGGGCTACAACTTGGACCAGTGAAATCAGAATCTGAGGGTTCAGGGAACATGGGCATCTGTAGTTTTAAAGCTCTCCCGGTGACTCCAATATGCAGCCAAGGTTGCAGACCACTGGCTTAGAAGGATCTTCTGAACTCAGCGGTGGGTGTCCACTCATTGGCAGGAGGAGGGATGGGCCAGGGGGTGAGGAATCAGCAAGACTGCGTGTGAGGGGCTGCTCTTGGTTCAAGATCTCTGCCCACTAGCAAGTGGGTTCGTTCAGGCCGCAGTTCCCAGTGGCTGTGAATACACCATGCACCATCTGGCAACGAAAGTTGAAGAAGAAACTCTCTCTTTGCAGATGGAAATGGTGAAGCCAAACTTGTGAACAACTTTTGAACTCACAGTGGTGAAGATGCACACAGTTCACTAACCACACTAGGGATGTCCAGCCTTTCAACTCGGAATAAACTAAAAAGAAAGCCACAAATTTATAAAAGAACAGGGTCCTTCCTTAAATAACTGAATTAAACCTTACTTTTGAGGAACAGAATACCATGCCTCTCAAATTCAAGCCATCCTTCCATGTTAAATTTTCAAAGCTGTATTGTTTCTGCTATTAGGCGTCAGGACATGAAATATGGATGACTCTGATCCGTAAGAAACACTGGGGGACCCCCAGCTCTTTAACGAAGCTCCCCTTCAGTCATTCACATGAAGCCTGGGGACAAGCCGGCCTTAGGTCAAGCTGCCAAGAGCTGACCAGGGCCATGCCTGCCTGGAAAGCACTCCCTCTTTAAGACAGGGAGCAGCTACAAAGGAGGATCGGGGGGGACACTACAGGGGGAACACTTCAGGGGGAAGTAGGAAGCAAAAGACAAAAAGTCACTGTCTAGCCTGAAGGTCATTTTCCAGCCTGACTCAGCCTGGCATGGGACCTCAAACAAGTCTTTTCCCTGCTCTTTTATAAAGGTAGGCATTGGAGTCCCATGGTCTTCAAGGTCACTGTTAGGCTCAAATTTGTTTTCTCTATCCCATGGGAAGACAGTGTTCTCCTTCACTCTACCATCAGCATGAACAGAGAGCCAGAGGAAACAAAATAAGGGTAATGAACTCCAATGCCAGAAAGGTCAGGCAGATCATGTAAGAGAATGAAACAGTGGGTGGGAACTATAACAACATAAGGCAGGATTCTCCATGTAGGGACACATGCCTCATCCACAGGGGAGGCTGCTGTTCAACTCCAGGCGGATGTCACCGTACAGAAAGATCTGGCAGTTGAGGAAAAGAAAATCTAAATTTTTAAAAAACATAGTTTGCTGTTCACTTTGGCAATAAATTGTTTAAAAGAAAGGAGAGAGAGAGAAAGAGAGAGGGAGAGAGAGAGAGCGCCTGTGTTAAACAAAATGCATCTGCCGGCAGATACAGCCTGCAGGCCTGTAGTTCACAACTTCTGAAGAAGAGAATGTTATGACATGATAAAATTTGTTCTTCATAATTTGACTTTTCTAGTAGGTTGGCCACTTATTTCCCCCTACATTTAAGAGACACTGCGCAGATGCTCTTTCTGGAATGTTAGGCAAGAACTGAAACTACAACTTAGGTGCACAGACCGGCTGCCTCTTACCCCAAGGAGCTGAACCCACTGCCCCCTCCCATGCCCTCCATGCAGCTCTAAGCTTCGTCCCTTGAGGAAGGTGCCAGGGCTCCAGAGAGAAGCCATTTCATCTTCTCCCACACCATCTCCTCCCCCACTGTGAAGCTGACAAGTGGCCCCAAAATAACCTTGACCCAGAAGGACAGTCCCAGCAGCTTAAATCACTGCCCCAAACCCCAACCCCAATGACCATGTATTAGGAGGTAACCCACAAGACTGGGACCATGTGAGTACCCTCAGGTGAGTTCAATTCCTGACCCAAATTAACCCCATCGAGTCATCCTTAAACAAAACAGGAGAATCTCAGTTCATGATTTCTTATTCAACTATGGCTCTGACAAAGAAAACATACTTAGATGTTATATCAAACACTTTTATTCTTAAAGTGATAAGTTCACTAAAGATAGCTATAGGAGAGTGAAATATTTAGAGTAGAAAAAATGTGAGTGCTAACCAAACTTCAAATACCGTCACAGCAGAGTTATTCCAATAGCAGTTGTTCAAGCATGGCAGACCACACGTGCTAAAACTACCTGCATTCTCTGAACACCTCACAATGGACACGCACAATGACATAAGCGAACATTCAGGGGCTACTGTCCTTGATCTTACAGAATGGATTTATGCACACCTTTATATACATATATATATATGCCATATATAAACAAATATATTATAAAACATCCAAAATAATTCATACCCATTTTTAAAAAAACACTTTGACTTCAAAGAAATTGGTAAAAAGACTTCAAATATCAAGATGAATATAGGCAAGAAATTGACTGCTACTTTTATATGCAAGGTACTGGATTCTTGAATGGAGAATCAGTGTCAGTCCTCACTTCCAACATCACATCGAAAAAGTGTGGTGGAAAACTAAGTCGCCTTCAATATGAAGGGTGTGAGTTGTATACACCAACAACACTCTCAAACAACAGTATTGCAGGAGGAATGCCAGTATACAGAGTGGACCTCCTCATGAGGCCAAACAATCGTGAGTTACCAGATGACCCTGCAGATATTTGGGTTAAGCAGCTATAGTATTCTGGTTTAATCAAGGCACTGGCAAAGAGCTATCTTTGACATGACAGGGTCTCTACAAGTTGTTAGCCATTGGTGATGGCATGGTTTTTTTGGTTAAGCAGCATTCTATACTGAGAATGCGAGCGTGATGCCTTAATCACAAACAAGCTCACTTAGACTGCAAAGCCAGATGTGCTTAAACTTTCCCCAAATCGTACTTTTTGATAAATCATGTCTGAACAGAAAGGCTTCACTTAAAATCTTAATCCTCCAGAGTTATAATTCACCTTTCCTCAACACCACCCGCCATCCCTGAAGTTTGTTTCCTTTTTCTCCACAAGAACACGCGGGATGAATCTTTTTCTTCCCTCTACAAATTACTTCCCCCAGAGAGAACTGTAGAACCAACCTAAAAACAAAATAACCTTACCCTTCTCACCAGCAGTTAAGTATCGGACCTCCCACTTCTACTTGGACTTGAGTTCCAAAGCCTTTCGGGAACACTTTTCAGACATTCCTCATACCATTAACACAGCTTTCCCTCACCATCAACTGTCCTTCTCCAACCTCTCCATGCCCAGCATAAAAGCAAGTTAATTTAGAAGGAGAGATGGCATTGAAAAAGTATTACTTTTACAAAAATGGAGTTCCAGACTGTTACTTGAACCTTCACAGCAAAACTGCACAGCGTCATCCATATATACCCCAACACTGAATTCTCAAGTGGCTATTTTTTTGAAGCCAGGTCTCACAAGCTCAAACCTAAGCCTAGTGAAGGAAAGTAGCTAAGACTTCCTAATGTTGAGCATTATAGACTTAGAATTACATGGGAATATGACAGGTCAAGACCATTTCCTAGGTTGCTTAATTCATCGATAAGAGGCCAAGTTCTCCATTCTCCCCCAGCTCTGCCATTCTGGGAAGAGCCCGCTGGCCAGCCTCGGACTGCCAAAGATTGTTGACTCCAACTCAGTCTTGGGGGGCACCCCTTGGAATGCACAGTTCTTGGATGCTGTCTGCGTCTGAACACCATCAGGTTTCCATTGCACGTGAACAATTCTATAATTCTGACCCTCATTGTTGTCCCAGAAGACCTGCCCATTAGCATGGTAAGAAATGCAAAACTCAATTTTTTCCTCAGTTGGAATGACAGAGGGTAAGTCAATGGCAAACGAGAAGGTGTCACTATCTGAGCCACCATACACATTTTTCATGTAGACACAGTCCACATTGGTGTAGTTTTTCCAAGTATCAAAAGTAATACGGATCTGAACCTTCTTCTCAAAGCTGACATTTTTTACCTTCACAGTCCCAGTCACTGTTCGCTCTTGAAGAGAGCAGTTCTCCAGACAGACAAAGTTCTTCTGAAAGTGGCTCCGAAAACTTAAGTAATCAGTTGAAGGCTGAGGGAAGTCTAAAATCAGGTTTTTCTCCTCATGGAGTTTTAAGCCAGAGGACAGGTCATTGAGGTCCAGGAGCTCAAACTGGAGGTCCCACGCTGGTTCTTCTGGGAGGTCGGAGAAGACATGGATGGCAGTGAGGGAGAGGCCCTTGGAATCTGCAAACACAACCCGTTTCTTGGCGTGGTTGTGTGAACTCTCCCAGTCATTCTGTGATTTGGCTTCCTGTTTTATATTGAGACACGGTTTCAGAGGCTTTAATTTGTTGACAAAATTTCTTCGTTGGAGGTCATCATAAGGGCCCAGGAAACTCTTCAGAGGTGGAGAATGAGCCAAGCAGAGTCTCATGGCCACATCCACCGGCATGACCGAACTTGTCAAAGGCCGTGGATCTAAAACCTGGATCATTCTGGAATAGAAGAAGGAAGAGGGTAGTTATCACCGGGATCTGGAATACGCTTCCCCAGCCCTAAATACATACATACTATTTTTTATATTGGCTAAATTATTGCCTACACAGCTGAGTATCAGGGAGGTGCTATCACATGTAATAAAAGAAAAGAGTGCTATGATCAGATCTGCATTCTACGTTTGGTTCTACCCTTAACTGGCCACAAGGCCATGGGTTAACTGCTTAAAACACTTAGGGGTCTCGGTTTCTTCATCTGAGAAATAAAAGAGTTAGATAGGATAATCTTTAATACACCCCTGAAAACCACTGGCTCTGTTCTGGACCAGTGGTTCTCAAACCTGTCTGGCCACAATGGCCTAGGGAGTTGGTTTTCTTTCTTTAGCTTTAATGCAGATTCCTGAGACTTAGAGTTACTGAGGCCGAACCTCTGGGGGTGGTGACAAGGAGTCACATATGTTCTTAAAGCTTCCAGTGATGTTAAAGCCCAGAAGGGTTCTGGAGCCGTGAGACTCTGGCTACTATGCTGATTTTGCTACTGAATTGATTACATGTTTCTGTAAAGGTGACATGCCTGAAGGAAAAAGGAGTAGAAATAAGAATTCTCATAGAACAGTTTTGAGATTTTGAAGGCTGGAAAGAGTGAAGTCAGAGAATTATCTCTGTATTTTGATTATCATGCTCTTTTTCACAACCAACTGAAATGCAACCCAGCAATGCATGCACTTAAAAACTTTACATCATCTGTTTTAGTAGAAAGACACCCATAAAGAGTATACATTTAAGTTGAAAAGGCTGACTTACAGACATTAAACTATTTTAATTATATTATTTATGATCTTATAAATATTGAAAAAGTTAATAGGAAATACCCCCAAAAGTTAATGATCTCTGGGTGCTAGGATTGTAGGTGATCTATTTTTGCCTTTGTACTTTTTTGGCATTTTCTAATGGTTGGGCAATGGATATTTATAAGTAGAAAGACAGTAAATCTATTTTAAAATGTAAACAAAACTATGCTCAGCAATATTAAATTAAGAAGTGTCCATCAAGGAGAATTTTTTCCTGGCCCATAGCCCTCAGTACAGATTGCCAAGCTAATGGATTCTTCTCCCTATCCTAGCCTTACAGATAAGAAGTGTTTTGTGGATACTGTACATGACATTTCTCAGTAACTCTCCACAGCAGCTCTAAACAAGTAGGTTTCATCACAAAACGGATAGTTAAAAAAGAAAAGAGCTCGCAGAATTCACTTTTTTAGTCCTGGGATTTTTCTGGAAGAACTACTAACTTATATCAAACAAATGAAAGGTAAAGCTATATTTGTGGGTCTAATAATAATTAACAGGAAGGATTTTTAGAGAACTAAATTTTGTCTGAGGAAGCCATTGAAAGTTTTATGGGGAGGCTTGTTTTGTCTTTTTACTTTTTGAACTTCAGACAGACAGTTTTAAAATTTAGCGATTTCCCTGGAATTTTAAATCCTGGCTAAGACTTCAAAAATCATCATTTGCTCAAACCCAAGTTCGCGTTTGCTAGGGCAGACCATGGTAAGAAGAGTGGAAAAGGCCGAATGAATGCAAACACCGTCCTGTAGTTTTCTCCCCAAGCTAAACTACCCAACCAGCAATGTCCGAGTGCTATTCCCTCAAGTTACCAGTCCTTGGGGCCTTTGTGCAGGACCAAGAGTTAACAGTGAGAATCCACGCGGGATTCAGAACTAAAGCTGACGGTCGGTCCTCAGGACTTTGGTTTAAGATGCGGGCTATTAAATCAGCTCCGCCTAAAAAGCACAGGGCAAATCTCCACACCTGTAGGCCTCCGCCTGCTAGATTCGACTCAGCAGTCCGTCAGCTTGCCCTCGCGTGGGGTCTGCATTTGCAGAGTGGACAGACAGGAAAGGAAGCCCAACCTCCCCGCAGCTGCACGCAGCCCTCTGCTCCCCGGCGGAGAGTCTGCGTGAACTTACCTGGTGCAGCTCATTAGGCAGAGAGGCGGCGACCCGACCGAGAGAGCCAGCGCTCTAGCTACTGGCGCAAGTTCGCACCGGTTCCCAGCAGTACCAGCTGGGCGGTAGCTCTGGAGGATTGCGGTGCGGCTCCGGGAGGCCCCTTATCTGCTCCTGACCACGTGACCCGATCCCTCGACCAACCAGCGCCCAGCTGGGGCGCGAGCCCTCTCCGCGAGTACGTGACCGCCGTGGTGCCGGACTTGCAGGGTGCGGGCGGGGAGCCGAGAGTGTCACCGGCTGGACTGAGCGAGCCCGGGGGCGAGGGTGCTTCCCCGTACTGCACGTAGCGGGTGCTGGCAAAGCGAGAACGCCGCAAATCTCGCCCAGGCTGGGCGCCCGCTCAGCGCAGCTGCTGGGAAGGAAATGCCTTGAGAGTCTTGACTGTGCACAGTTAAATCTGGGCACAGAAAGCTGTGACTCTTTCCCCATGTATATATTATTTGAAACGTTTATATTGATCAGTGTTAGGTGCATCTGCGCATCTTCTCCCTCACCTTAGCCAGAGCAAGAAGTTGGCTGCATATATTTTTAGTAGGGTGTGTCCACAAATGCACCTCATTAGTAGACTGAAGGCTGCCAGGAATGAACTGTTCTCTAACAAATGTTAATAAAGCCTGCTAGCCCCATAAAAATGAGGTGGCATTTAATTAAAAGGCACTTGGCATTTCGGTCTAGTCTTCAGTTTTTCTCCCTGGAACAGAAAACTAAAGCCAGGAATGAGGTGGCTTTTTTTGCTCTGATGACCATTCAACCACAGAGACAGTGGTCAACCCAAATCCCTCGACTCCGTTCTGACGTCCTTTGGCAGAGATGTGGAAGCCAAAATGTTAAAATATTACACTGTAAGTTTCATGACTCTCCAAGCCAGTTACTTTCACTGAGGTTTCATTATGTTGTTTAGTTTGGGAGTTTTTAGACCATCAGTTACAACCATAAAATTTCTAAATTGAGTATGAATTATTTTTACAAAACCTAGGTCCTCTATTAACTTGAATATCCAGGAGACAATTAAAAAGTACAAAATTCCTTGTGTCTTCTGAATAACCGTCAAACATTGGAATTGTTAAAGTGCAGTGATTAGAATGAAGGAAAAGAAATACATGCTGGGTATCACTGGAGAAGATACTTAATGCTTGGGCTGGAGTTGTGAAATGAAACACCCAACTGTAGCAAATTCACTAGCCCCTCAGCCCAACCAAAACTAACTTAAAGGATTAGTCTTTGGGTTGACACTTACCAGCTGCATGAATCTAGGCCAAGTTCCAGCCTCAATTTCCTCCTCTACAGTGGAGATAGTAAAGTTGGTCTGAGGATTACCTAAGACTATGCAGACAACAAAACTCAGCCCAGTGCCCAGCACGTGCATTCAACCCACATTCGTCCTGGTCAGTATTCCATTCTTCAACAGTTGTTTTTACTCTGCTACCGCGGAAGGCCGGAACCTGAGCTCTGATATTGATCATAGGTGGTGATAAATGCTTGTGGAGCCTATCCCAGTGCCAAACATGGTGTTTTCTGTCTTATCTATTTAATCCTCACAACAGCCCTAAATGGTGTGTACTATTACTAGTTTCACTTTAAAGATAAAGTAACCTAGTCACTTAAAGGTCAAAATCTGCCCAAAACCTCAAAGGTAGAGCTGGGATTAAAATCTGGCTGATGTCAAAGCAACAACCACTGTATCATACTGTCTTGCTTTCATTAAATGTCAACAATTAGAATGATAAAGGTGGACGGTACCTTAGGTGTCACTGGCTTTGAAGTCTTTACTTCATAGATGAGATATCTAAAACTCAGAGAAGCTGTGCCATTTGTCAGGGACTGGTCAGGTCAGAGTCAAAGCAAAAACACTGGGTCGAGTTTTTTCCTCCATCAATGGTTTTATGTTGAGCTTTAAAAAAAAATACATGTTTCCAATTAAAGGTATGGAAGAACACAAAACAATAAGAACATATTGCGTTCCCATTTGGGGGGAAAGGTATGCATACAAAGAAAATATGTACTACCAAAATACCAACAGTGCTTATTTTTTGATGCTGAGATTCAGTAATTAACAATTGCTTGTTTGTATTTTTAAATTTTTCTACACTGAACATGGCTTTCTATAATTAAGAAATCACTTTTAAAGGATCTCTAAACTCTCAGATTCATTTAACACATACAGTCTACCTATTAGGTGCCAAGAACTGTGTAGGCACCTCGTACTGTTGCTTCCACAGTCCTGAGTTTGCTCGTTTCCATTCATGCAGCTTTCTCTCCTGCCCCCTGGTGCTGACTGATGCCATAGAGCCGCTCTCTCTCTGAAGTCAACAGAGAAGATTGGCAAACAGGGCTCTCTCCTGAGATGAGTCAACACTCAGTAAACCTCTGAAATGGATGATCCAGTCCCTCACGTCTCCCCGCCCAGCTTTATTGAGATCTAACTGACACAGAACATTATTTAAGTTTAAGGTGTACACTGTGTTAATTTGATACACTTAGGTATTGTAAAATGATTATACCAGACAGTTACCTAACACCACCAGCATGTCACTTTGTTACCATATCTTTTTGTGGTGACAACATTTACATTCTACCCTGTTAGCCACTTTCATATATATAATACAGCATTATTCACATAATTGTACATTTAGATCCCCAAAAGTTTGTACTCTTTGACCAACATTTGCCCATTACTCCCACCCCCCACCACCAGTCCCTGGTAATCACTATTTTACTCTGTTTCTACAAGTCTGGCTTTTTTAGATTCCACATATAAGTAAGATCATACAGAATTTGTCTTTTTCCATCTGACATATTTCACTTAGCATAATCAGGCCCCACACTGTCTCTTTCCTGGCTTTCACCACCTTTCATTGTGGAATGAGAGGAATTGGGATGAAATCAGTGTTCTTAGGAGTTGCACCAATGAAGAAGTGGGTTGGGACTTGCAGGCAGTTGTATTACTACTTGTAGGTGTTCTCCAACTGCGGTTTGGCTTTGCTTTGTCCTACCCATCTTAATAAATTCATTAGTGAGGCCTTATTGAGTTGTGCAGTGTTCTCAGCCATGCCAGGGGTTACAAGGACCATAAGTCACAGCTCTTTGACCTTCAGGACGTTAGCATCTTTATTAGGAAAAAAAAGTTTAAATTCATGAAATACCCAAGGAACATTTTAAGGAGTTACTAAGCAAGGGGCTGATGGGTGCCTGGCTTACACAGGTGGGTCTCGTACAGCATTTGACCGACATGTTTCCAGGAATATGCCCAGGTGGGGCACACCCCAGGGCCTTCCCAAGTTGCCAACTCACTTTCTGTCCCCTTGCCTTTTTTTTTTCAGTGCCCAATCGAGAAAGTGTTTGAGAATTCAACCTTCTAGTTATTTGTATTAAAATGTCAGTACTTTAACCACCATTAGTAGCAACAGGATGAACTTCATAACAGTTTCACGCCCCACAGTGTAGAGTCAGTGAGGTTGAAAAGTGTTCGTTTTGATGAAAAGGACCAAAGTTTCTATTTTTGAGAGCAGAGAGGAGCCAGCTCATGTGTCTCAGTGAAGAGTAAGTTTTTACACTAATTTCTTCTTCCTCTGTTAGCCATGTTGGATTGGAATACAATATCAGGTGAGGGAGTGTAATTTAAATACACACACACACACACACACACACACACACTGCTTACTCCGGGTCAGGCATTGTTTTAAGCACTTCACAAATATTAACTCATGTAATATTCATAAAAATCCTGTGAGGTAGAAACCATAATGACTATCCCCATTCAACAGAGGAGGAAACTGAGGTTGTCTGCGGAAGTTTAAGTAACTCGTACGAGGTCGCACAGCTAGCCAACTGCAGGACCACGTTTCAAACTCCTCTGGAGTCCACGCTCCAAGTGCGAGCTGCTCTGGAACAGACAAGCACCACACGGGTACCTCCCAAAACCCAAAGGAAGCTCTGAGGAAACTCAGAGAAATTCAGAAAGGGGAGGGCTTTCTGTGGAATCTCTGTGGAAGCTTCAAAGAGGAGGTGAGACTTGGGAAGGCTCGGGAAATTAAAAGAATGCAAATATGGTGGAGTATCATCTTTAGGGCGTTTAGATGATAAGAATCCAGCTGCAGGACTCAACCAATGAGAGAGTGAGATCAGAATTGAAATGGTGCCAGCAGCCCACCGTTCATCTCCAAGGACATAATCTCAGAGGGCAAGAGAAGGAAGTAAAAGTGTTGCTGAGTAGACTATGCTATTAATCATTCAGTTTGCACTGAGGGAATTTTCAAGTGTAATTTTCACTGCCTGAGTTTTTTTAGTTTTCACCTCATACTCCACTTCTAAAATGTCCCTGTAAGAGAGCAGTCTGGGCACAGGCAGGAAGGCAGAATGGTTGTTGCCAACAGTAAGTGGTTAAAGAAAGTACAAAACACCTGAGACATAGGACAGGTCTCAGCTGAGGTGAGGAAGAAGGAGAGGGAAGGAGGAACGAACAAAAGATGATACACTTGGTCTCTCTAACAACCTGTTGAGATACACAGGCAAAAAGACAAGTGACCATACCAGGCTGACTGAGCAGCAAATGAGTCATGTGAGTGCTATACCCATTAGCTACCTGTGCTCCAGAACTTCAGAGAATGGCAAGGTCACCAGGGCTAGGATGGCCAAAGGGGACCAGGACATGTAGGGTAACTGCAGGGCGAACACTTTGGCCAGGGGAGAGGTTTCTACATGGGAGTGTTGGAGGGAAGAATCAAAGGAGAAATAAATTAAGTCCTGTGGACTATCCCGAACAAAATTAGAGAGCTGAATGCTACAAAATGAGTGAGCAAAGAATGAAATAAGCTAACTGTAGGGGAGAAATTGTTCTCACATGTTGGTAAGTACGTCTCCAAGTTGCCACAATTTCTCCACATTCACTGAAGGATTAGGGTGAAGAAAAATGTAAGTTAGAGGACCTGTAAAGAAAAGTTTAAACCACTGTTAAAGGGCTTTTTGAAAGGCTTTACTCTGAAAACCATGGAAGACGCGAGAGGGATATATTGTATAGTAGATGGGAAAGGAGCTCGCCCAAACGTAGGAAAAAAATCAGAATGAGAAGTAGGAATGCTCTGAAAAAGAATAATGAGAACATGCTGG